GTCCCATGCTTCTTCCCAAGCCACATCTCGCTGGGTTCTCCTCTTTCATAATGGCTGTCTTCCCCTTTGGCTGACGTCAGACTCTGCTGCCCCCTGTAATTTTCCTAATTGCTTTCTCTTCTGCCTCAACAATGGAAAAGAAAACTTTGAGACATCATATTTTACAAGATGGTCAGACTGGGAAAGAACAGAGGCCTGGGGCATCCTAAGGAGGAGACTCTTTCCCTATAAGAGCTGCATGTGGCTCCAGCCTCAAGTCAGGAGTGCAGTGGCATAGAGAACACTACGCTGGGATTTGGAGAATGAGCATGTTTTATCTTTTTTTTATGAAAAATAAATTGTATGTTTTTATTCGTTGCAAAGGAAAGTTGTGAGGAATAACAGTCAATGATGTGTATCATTTATCTATTGTGTTAACATTTGAAAAGTTTTAAGATGAATTAATTGTACCTCTACATCACCCCTGGCTTTTCAAGGTACCAGATACCAGACTTCTAGCTCAGAGTAAACACAGAACTGAAATTCTGGCCAATGAGCGTGTTTTAAAAGTTAGGTTTTAGTTTTACCTGTACGGTGTTCTGCCTACATGTGCATCTGTGCACTACATTGGTGCCTGGAGTTACAGATGGTTGTGAGCCACAGTGTGGGTTCTGGGAATTGAACGCAGGTCCCTGGAACAACAGCCAGTCCTTGTAAGTGCTGAGCCATCCCACTAGCTCCACGGGAATGAGGATTCTCCTCGGGTCTCCTCTATGTTCAGTTCCTACACCTTCTCACACGTTTCAGCCTTGAAGCCACAAAAGGAGCTCTGCCTATTTGAGGTGGTATGACACAGGCCCCTCTGGCCAGGCTCTTGCTAGCACTTGGATACAGGGCTGTGGCGGCTCAGTTTCCTGTGGTCTCTTCTGCTTCCTTGGTTGGTGCTGACTGCACCAAGAGAAGAAGGAACTTAGGGTCAGCAGGGGAAAGGAGACCATGAAAGAGTCTTGTAGCTGGAGACGCTGCTGCCTGGCTCAAAAGGCAGTTTCAGTTTGCAGGAGAGTGAGGACCTAGCAGAGGATGCGGCTCAGTTGGTACAGTGCTCCTCCAGCTTGCACTAGGCCCTGGTCCCGCTCCTCACACCTCATAAAGCAGACGTATGCCACACCCTGTAACCAGCACTGGGGAGGTGGAAGCAGGAGGATCAAGAAACTTCAAATTCCCAGAATAATACTGGTTTCTGGAAGGATTGTCCTGATTTGCAGTGACAAGTGTCACGTCCCTCAAGCCATGGAAAATGTGATTTGGCCATTAAGTCTGTTGGTATTAAGTGTTCTCATTATACCACTAAAGGAGGCATGGCTAATCCAGGCACAGTAGTACTGTGTCACCACTGGAATGCATTTGTTCTGTTGTTTTGGGCCAAGGTAGATAGAAAGAGGCCAGGTGTGTTTGTGCGCACACACACGTGTGTAAATGGTATATGTGGTGTTTGGCAAATAAACCTTGTACTTCAGTCTGCTTCCTAATCTGGCAAAAAGTGGCTCGCCTCTTACTGGTTCTGAAGAACAGCCTTACTAGTTTCCCTTTCCTTTGATTTCTTGCCAAATTGGCTTGCTCTCCTAGGAGAGGGCACAAAGCCCAGCCAGAGGGTGACAGAGACATTGGGTCACTCCACTGACCATCATGCACACAGCCTCTGTCACATCTCTTTAATCTTTCTTATCAGTACCTCTTCTGGGGCCATAGGAGAAATAAGTTACTTCAGTGAGAAAGTAATGGGCTGAAGGCAGCTGGAGACTCCCTGCCTGCTGAAGAGCAGGTTCTCAAATAGGGACTGCTGTTTGTGCTTGCATGGCTAGCTGAGTGGGGGTGGGGGTTGGATTTGCTGCTGGACCTGGACTGACGTGTTAACATCTTCCATGAAGGCGCCACAAATGAACTATTTCAAGGCGTGAATCCAAGTGGGTGATAACAGACCTGGCAACCAACCGCCTCATTTGTCTCTTAGAAAGTTATGTATTACAGCTCCACCAGGTGGCGGCCAGCAGTGTGGATGAGAGCTGGAGGGGGAAGCTGCTCTGAAAATTTGTTTGTTCACAGTGGAGTTGAGGACATCCACATGTGGTATAATGAAGGGCTGTAAAAGCACAAGCAGACCCTCAGAACTACAGTGCACCTTTGGCACAAATACTCAGATGCCACGAGCAGTTTGTAAATGGCTTTGCAGAATGGTCCCTTTGTTCTACTGTTCCTGTTGGGTCCCAAGGGGACAGTGGCTCTCTAAGTTCAAGGGTGTCTGGTGTCTTGCGGTTATACTCCAGAGTGGCGTAGATCCGTGCCCAGCTTACAAGCATCAGCATCTTGAGGAACCAGGAAAAGATACTGCTACCCTGGCTTCCGGGTTTGGCTTTGCTCCCTTATGTGTTCTCCTTTTTCTACACTGATATTGATGATAGAAACTGGAATAAGGCGGTTTTCACTCTTCTTCCCTCACTCTTACATGGCACAGATGTGATAACAAAATGCATACTCAGCTTTACTGGACAATCTGACTAGATATCACATGCTAAAAGCAAATTAAGTGCTGCTAAGTAGATTGGACTGTCCACTTGTTTTAGGCAGTTCAAAGAGCTGCTAAAACATCAGAGAGTAAAATTCATCTTCCCAGCTTTTGGTTCTATTCATATCTGAGTTTAGCAAAAAGAGAAAGAAATACCCTCCCCCCATTTGTTTTTATTTATTGTCTTACCTTAAAAAGATTGATTAAGATAATAGTCTTGCAGCATATGGTATGCCCACCTAAAGTATACCATCCGGTGCTTCTTAGTGTGAGCAACCCCTTAGTCGGTCCAGATGGTCACAGTTGCAGTTAGCATGTACTTGTAATTTAACTGATTGCATTTTTTTTCATTGAAGACACTGATTTGGAAAAAGCATAATCCCAAATAGAGGCCAGCTTTTAAATACAGGACTTAGGAGATAGTGGCAAGCGGTGGGTGGGACTTAATCTCTAGGATTTCTTCTTTTTTTTTTTAAGATTTGTTTATTTATTATATATATACAGTATTCTGTCTGCATGGATCCCTGCAGGCAGAAGAGGACACCAGATCTCATTATTGATGGTTGTGAGCCATTGTGTGGTTGCTGGGAATTGAACTCAGGACCCCTGGAAGAGCAGCTAGTGCTCTTAACCTCTGAGCCATCTCTCTAGCCCCATCTCCTTTGCATCTTAACAGCGCTGCTGTTTGTATTTCTTCTCCTTTAAAAAAACAGCACGTTCGTTATTTTAATTTAGCCAAGAATGAGGTCGGATTTCATGTTGCCTCCTCCCACCCTTTCAAAGCCTGTTTTGCTTTCCTCCATGTATGCTGTTGACATAATAGAATTATGTTGACTGGATGATATGAAGCTCTGAGAAACATGGCTTCTCAGCTTGAAGTGTTAACTTGGACTGTGAGGTAGACTTTGATCTAGGAGTTTTGTTTTTTTTTTGTTTTTTGTTTTTTTTGCTTGTTTGTGTTCTCTGTGAGACACTGATGTGAGAACTAAGTCTTTGATTTTAATAGCTCATCTGTCCCCTTGCTGTATGCCCACCTGAGCTGTCATAGTGCACCGTGAGGAACATTGTAGCTGGTTGCTATGGAGTTAACACTAAATAAAGGTTTATAACTGAAAGCAGAAGTGAAGCCGAGTTGCCAATTTCTTAAAGAGGTAAAGGATCAGTTTCAGATATGAGTACAGATCTATTCCTTTAAGAGTAATAACTGATTTGGGTGAGAATGTCAAGACCCGGGCTGAACTGATGACTCAGTATGTAAAGTGTTTGCTGGGCAAGTACAAGTTCAAATCCCAGCGCCCACTGCCAAGTATGGCCACATGTGAGGAATGGCATCAGGCATGGCTGCGGGTGCGCTTTTAACCCCTGGAGAATCCCCAGCATGGCTTAAGGTTGGATGAGAAACCCTGCCTCAAGGGAATAAGGTGGAGAGTGATGGCTAAGGCACCTGGTGTGCTCCTCTGGTCTCTGCATGTGCACAGCCTGCTCAGCTGCACACACGTGTGCACATAGACCATGCTCATTCTCACCTCTGGGTGAAGTGGAGGTGGTGGTAGGGATGGTGTGGGAGATGGGAGCTTGGGTGAACACAATTCCAGTCACCTCTTCCGCTTGTAAATGTATGGTGCTGGGACTAGAGTGTTCTGACTGCTCCATGACCACAGCTCTGAGTGTTCCGCCATTATTGATTCATCTTCTGTAGTAAAGGTCTCCTACCTGCATGGCACATAAATTTTTGAAAGTTTTTTTTTAATACTGGAAAACAATTAATTTGCTTTGGTACATTTTTAAATTTGCCGGAGGTGTCTCTGTCAAATAAGGATTGGGCGGTTTTCAAAGACTGAACAAGAATAGATATAAATAGAATTGGGGCCATTTATCAGTATCTATTATTTTGTTTCATTAACTGAATTAATGTCTAAGCATTTAGCCCAAGGAATATATGCAGCTCTATTTTATTAATGACTTAGCCTTAATCCGCTCATCTTCTTAGCGTGCAGTTAAGTGCAAAGTAGTTAGGAATTCTTATAATCATCTACTTCCCATGGAGGACTTACATAATAAAATTAATATCCCCTCATTCTTTCTCTTCCCTTTGCTCTTTTCTGGGTGTTTATCAAAGTGGTTCCCCCCACTACTATTTAATCTAGAGCTAATCAATTTTGTGTCCTGAAAAAAGAATATAACCCAGGGTACAGCATTTAACAAGTACTGGAAGGTCCTGGGTTCAATCCCCAAAACTACAAAAGAAAAAAAAAAGCCAATGAGTTAAATAATGTCACCATTGTTTTTGCAATGATGATTGGAGAAGAAAAATCTCCTAATAAATTAAGGGCTCTTTAGACTCATTGTATAAGGGGAAGCAGCTGAGGCTCCAGGTTAATCTAGTTATCTCACTAAGCAAATTGACCAGTGTGTATTGGTTTTGTGCTTCCATGGTGATACTGTGTTGTTTGTTCAGATATCCTAGGAACAGAAGATGCTGTTGTGGAAGCGACATCCAACGATGCCGTGAGGTTTTACCCCTGGACCATCGATAACAAGTACTATTCAGCAGAGGTCAATCTGTGCGTGGTGCCAAGCAAGTTCCTAGTCACTGCTGAGATCGCGGAGTCTGTCCAGGCATTTGTGGTTTACTTTGACAGCACACAGGTAAGCTCTTGTTTCCAATGGTGCCTTCAATCAGACGTTGTCATACAGCCTTTTTCTCCTCTGAGTTTCTAAATGTGTCTTTTCATTGTTGTTTGTTTCTGCCCCTGTAGAAATCGGGTCTTGATAGTGTCTCCTCATGGCTTCCCCTGGCAGAAGCATGGTTACCTGAGGTGATGATCCTGGTCTGTGATAGAGTGTGTGAAGATGGTAAGAGTCTCTGACATCCTCGGCTCATCATGTTACTCTATGAAAATCCTGCAAGACTTCTGTTATTTTCAGCATACTTTGAGGCTGAGATCATTTACCTTTATGTAGCTTAATTCTAGATGCCTTTAGAATGACATCACATTTGGGGGAAAACACCGAGGCCTGAGGAGTGTTGAAAGTTGTTTGTGTCTCACAATAGTTTTACTTTAGCTTCTTTTACATGTTGTTTTAGGAATAAACCGACAAAAGGCTCAAGAATGGTGCATCAAACATGGCTTTGAACTGGTAGAGCTCAACCCAGAGGAGCTACCTGAGGAAGATGGTGAGTGTTGGCATCTGGAGACTTTGGGTTGAGGCCTAAGAGACTGTTCCATCCTAGGGTAGGGTGATCACAACAAAAGCCTAGAAATGCTAGTTTCTCTATCTGTTTAAAAAGCTTTGAGTAAGAGCCACTAATATGGGCCTACCAGCACTGTCATAGTTTGCTTGCTGGCTTTTTCCACCCATTTTAGAGCCTTTGAAACTGTGTGTGCTTAAATAGGTAAAGTAAGAGATCACTCTTGAAAATTATTGCCATTTCCCTGTCCTTAGTCCACCGTCAGCCAAGGATAGTGAGACCTGTGTTTGTGGAGTTTATGTTCCTTCTTTTGAATTCATAGTAAGCTAATTCCCAGAAACCTCAGGAGGCATGCCAGTCCTATTGATACCCAAGCCAAAAATAGATACAGAGCCTCCCACTCCCCCACCCCCCCAGGGCAGCTGTGCATTGCCTGCCTTCTGCTTCTGCCACCATTTGGACCTTCAGTTTCTCTTTCTTCTTTTTTTTTTTTTGATAAAATTTATTATTTTTTTATTTTATGTGTTTGAATGTTAGGCTACATGTACGTCTGTGTACCACATGCATGCCTAGTGCCATAGGAGGCCAGAAGAGGGCATCAGAATCCCTGGAACTGGAGTTACAGATGGTTGTGAGCTACCATGTAGCTAACAGGAATCAAACTCCAGTTCTCTGGAAGAGCATGAACCTGGGCCCCCTGCAAGAGCAGCCCGTGCTCTTTATCACTGAGCTGTGTCTCCAGTTTTTTCACCTTCTCACTTTCCAAGTATACCTATATAAACCCAACCCAATTCTTGGCCCATAAGGATCTTATAACTTAGTACCAAAAGTGAGCCATAAGCTACATTCACAAATAATTGAGTTTCCCAAATAGAATGTCCCCAGACCAAGAAGGAATATGATGTCATGGTGTTCTGGAGGTGGGGATATTCCTGTGTGTGGTTCAGAGAGCATTTGGCACCCCGACTTTGATGTGTCAGACTCTTCATGGGTAAGAAGTGGAAAAGGAATTGGACTTGAAGAGACCTGGTAGGAGGGGCCCTTGAAGATGTGGGCTGTCCCAGGAGACATTCCAGGCAAAGAAGCCAGTGTGGATGAAATACTAGGTAGGACAGAATGAGAATGAAATAGGGAGGCAGGTTTTCATTCTTACACATCATAAAGAATACTGAAAGTTGGCAAATGAAATATTCCCTTCCATATTTTTTAAGTTCCCTAAAACTTGTACCCAACTTGGTGTAATGACTGTCATCATCTTAGAATTTGCTCCTTCCTACCAGGGAGTTGTTCTGCAAACAGTACCCATCTTTGTGTTTATCATTATCAAGTGTGTGTGTGTGTGTGTGTGTGTGTGTGTGTGTGTGTGTGTGTGTGTGTGTGTGTAGGTGCTCACATGTCCCACAGCACACATATGGAAGTTGGAAGTTAACTTTTTGGATGCAGGTGGACCCAGGGTGGGGAATGAGGTCATTAGGCTCACAGCAAGCCCTGATGCCTGCAAAGCCATCTTGCCAGCCCTAATTCAGTATAATTTTAAGACAGATTTTCTGAGACATGTCATCGTAGAGCAAGGTAATAAATAAAAATTTTCTAGAATTTTTAAATACAAACTGCTCCAAAGCTACCTTTCTTCATTTGTGGGCACTTTTCACACATCCACTGTTTTATCAAGTTTCATATTCCTGCTGCTAGCTCTTCATTTCAGATTGTATTTTTGGTTCCTGGGTTTAGTGTCTTAAGTGTGACTGATTCTTTCAAGAACTGCATCATCCGTAGTTAAGATGAACATGGGATAGACTTAGCTTCATTGGGTATTCCCAGTTTCATCCTCATTTAATGCTTCCAGGTTGGTAGATGTGATTCTTTAGGTGATTCATTAGCCATGAAATACTGTCTGCTGTTACTCAGGCACTCTGAGGCAGTGGGCATAATGAACTCAGTTAGGCATGGTTCCTGCCTGCAGGAGCTTCCAGTATAAAAGGAGAGTACACCCAGTCCCCACCATCATGCCTCCGGGAGAGGTACTAAGAGTACTGCTGTCCCCATTATTTTCAGAGGCTAGTGTAAGTGAACTGCCCTTCATCAAATAGTAAATGGTTGGTAATTGCCAGAGCCTGGATTCAAGTTTAGATCTTCTGATGTCTAAGTCTCTCTTCTTCCTATTTAACCCAGACTAGGCTAGACCACTAGACATGGGTTCTGCAAACTCTTTTCTCTCTGACCCACCCACACTTGGATTATTTCTTCCATTATTTTCCACCTGAAGTCTTGCGTTCCTCATTTCTGAAGGACCCGTGCTTACTGGGCATAGTGATGCCTGGATTGTAGCTAAGAAACTGCTGTTACTGGTTGCTGGCAGAGTAAGGCCTGTTTTAAGTAGAACTGCCAAATTCTAAAGACAGGGTGGTGCTAACTCTAAAGCAGCTGCTGCTTGTCCTTGGTCAAGTTGTTATACTGGGGCAGAAGACTGGGCTTTGACTTCAAACCTAAGGCAAACGTCCGCATTTGAATACATCTCCTGGCCTTCTTTTTGCTTACTCTTTTCATACAAAGTTTCGCTGAGTTGCCAAGCTGAATTTCAGCTTCTGTTGTCCAGGCTGGCCTCCAACAGGAGAACTTCCTGCCTCAGCCTTCAGGTGGCTGGGATTGCAGACTTCCTGGTGCAGCTGCCAGTCCAGCTAAGCTTTGATTCTTAACTGCTTTCTCTGATCAAGAGATAATAGGTAACAGGTGATAATCGCCCACAGTGGAAGACAGCTCACATTACTGAGTGTTGCATTATAGCACACAGAGAGGTCCTCCTTCCAGGGATTAAACTCGGGTCACCAGGCTTGTGCCACAGTCCTTTACCCACTAAGCCATTTTACCAACCCCTGGAAATTCATCCCACATAGATAGCTAAGATGAGAGTATTTATTATTTCTTTTAAGATGTATTACTTTAAAATGTGTATATGCAGGTGCATATGGAGGCATTGTAACTCCCTTGGGGCTGGAGTTACAGGCAGTTGTGAGCCACCTACCATGGGCTCTGGGAATTAAACCTCTGTGAGAGCAGCAAGCACTCTTTAACAACTGAGCCATCTGTCCAGCCCCCAGATTAGTGTCTTTAATGCTACATTGTGGTTGTTTAATGAGAACTTGCTTTTTCTGGAAACTGTGAGTAGATTTCATGGGTGAGGTGACAGAGATAGCGTGATCACACAGCTCTCTTCTGTCGTGACTGTTGGTATCAGGAGTTATGGGCCCTGTATTGCTTTATTCATCTATTTCTGTATACAGTACATTATGAAGCAACAGCTAAATAAACAAGCTGATTAAACCCAGTTATTTAAAAGTTTGGCTTTGGGGACACATAGGCATATACATGAATGCATACCTTTATCTGGATGTGTGTACAGATTTATGTGTTTCTTTCTCTGGTAGATGATTTCCCTGAATCTACAGGCGTAAAGCGGATTGTACAAGCATTGAATGCCAATGTCTGGTCCAATGTTGTGATGAAGAATGGTGAGTAACTGGATGTTGTCATTTTTACCCTGTGACATGTTTTAAATTATATGGATGTATGTGGAAGTATTAGTATTCTGTGGAATCTTTATTCCCATTCTCAAGTTTTCAGTTGAAGGAAGAGCCAGAAGTAACAAACTGGGAATGTTTAATGTATGTTGAATAGGTGGTTCAGCAAGCATATAAATACTACAGTATATCTCACATTGTCTTTGGCTTTAAGAACCACCTAAATTTTTAAGATGTGACCTTTATCATTAAGGAGCTTTCTAGTCTTCTGTGGGATTCTTTATAGTCCTCTCTGTCTTTGCCCTTTCTGGACATTTTATGTTAGTGGAGGTATGTACTTTTCAAATGCCAGGTGTGCAGGCAAGGGGGCATGATGAATACAGAATCAGAAACAAGACTGCTGCATTAGTCCTAATGTAGAGAGAGCTTCCAGGAGAGTATGGGTTCCTGTACCATTCTTCCTGGTGTGGTCAAGACTGAAAGGGGAGAATGCTCTGCTGAAGGAGGCATAGCTCCAAGAACAAGGCTTTCATGTTATAAAGAACCTAGGAGAGTCTCACCTAGCAGTGGGAGCTCCCATATGTGTCAGAAAACTAGGCAAGGAGAAGTGGGCTTTCTTCTGTAGCAAGTGGTGAGACCCTGGAGGTGGAATCTCTGCAGGGTTGACGTTAGGGTGGTGTGTTGGAGATGGGAGTAGAGTCTGAGGTCAGGGAGAACTGAGCTGTTGTTGCAGCATCCTGAGGGTGAGTGTTGGGCCCTGAGTGATGTAGTGATGGTGTCTGTGGGGTGGAAGGCTGGATTTGACATGTAGTCTGTAGTTGGCTGGCACCAGCTCTTGCAGTCTGCATTAGCTTGCTCAGCCTTTGGGAACAAGCTCCCAGTCTAGATGGCTTACCATTGTGAGAATTCATTGCATCGCAGTTTTAGATAAAGTTCAGAAGTCCCACCTTGAGGAGCCAGGGCCACTACCCTCCAAAGGTGCTGGAGAAGGGTTATCCCAGACCTTGGTCCCGACTTCTGTCTATTCTTTGGTGTGACACACTATGGTTTCTCCCTGTGTGCATGATTTTGTTCTTATCTCCTCTCTTATAGGGCCAGCAGTGATACTAAGTTAAGGCCCACCGTATGGTCATGTAACCCATTTTAATTTCCCTGTTTCCAAATAAAGGTGTGCGTGTTGCTGTGTTAGAAGTTATAACTTAACTTTGAGGTTTGGGGAGTGCAGTTCAAGTCTAGAGTGTAGTGTGTTTAACAAGTGTGCAGTGTTAGGTGAAACTCTCCAGAAGGGAATGAGAAAAGCTGTAATTGCTGTAGGTCTATCTAGCCTGTCTTCCTTGAGATAAAAGGCAAGCGGATGGCCAGCATGGTGGATGCAGAGTGCTTCAACCAGCTGTTGGGAGACATTGAGTATTAAGTATTCTTGGCACCCCGACCTCTCATCTACCCCTGATGCCTGGCAAAGCCCCTTCTTGGCAATAAGGTAATTTCCTCTCTCTCTCCTTCTCCTGTCTCCTTCATCCTCCCCACATTCATGTTAGGGAGAATCTGTTATGTCTGCTGTGTCCTTTCCATCCACTCACAATTCATTCATTCATTCATTACTTCTCTGTTGAGCATTTGTCATAGCAAGCTATTGCTTTAGACTCTGTACAGTATAAAACTAAGTTTAAGATATGGTTCATAAACTAGATCAATTTAGAATAGTGTTCTAATTCAGTACTGTCTGTTATAAATTTCTTGAAATAGCTAGAAATTCAGTAAAACTTTTTTGGCTTTAATCATTTTTGAAAACCCTGACCCCTGTTTCATACATTAAAGAAATGATGGCTTATAATTCACTTTATAGCTTTGCAGCCACCCTCTATAGTTATGGCTTCCATGTCCTTGGAGTTAGCAAACCACAGAATGGAAATGGTTGGAAGGAACATGTCTATCTGAAACACACACACACACACACACACGCTTTTTTTCTTTTGCTTGTCACTATACCCTAAACAGCAGTATAAGAGAGATCCCCTTAGTAGTTACACTGTGTTAGCCATGGAAGGTTGCAGGTAATGTAGGAAAGTTAAAGTGTATGATAAGGGATGCCTAGCTTATACCAATTTTGTAACAATCTATAGCAGGGACTGGCCCTCGTATCTGGGAGATCCTAAACATGTAAATCCACAGGCTGCACTGAACATAGTTTTGCCTCTGTCCTAGATGCTTCTTTGTCAGCTTGACACAAGCTAGGGTCATCTGGGACAAGAATATTCTCATGTCCTCAATTGAGAACATGCCTCCATTTGGTCCATGGGCAAGCCTGTGGGGCATTTTCTTGATTGGTGGTTGAGTTGGGAGGGCCCAGCTCACGGTGGATGGGACCACTCCTGGGTTCTATAAGAAAGTAGGCTCTGAGCAAGCCATGGAGAACAAACCAATTAACAGTGTTCCTCCATGGTCTCTGAGTCTATTCCTGCCTTGAGTCCCTGCTCTGACTTCCCTCAGCTACAGCTTTAAGCTGAAATGAACCCTTTCTTCTCCAGAGTTGATTTGGTGCTGTCATTTCTCACAGCAATGGCGAGCAAACTAGACTGTTGGTGCACTGTGGAGCAGTGTTGTGAAGTGTGGAGCAAGGAGGCACATTGCATGGCTCTTTGCCCTGAAGTATCTTTCTATCTTTTTTCTTTCTCTACAGTCTTGAGACATTGATGTGCTTTTAGCTAAAACTCCAAATTTTGGCATTAGCTTGCTTTCATGTTAAGAGGACCCAGATCTTTGTTATGAAGGAAATGACCCGTCTCCTCCTAGGAGAAGCAGTGTGGAAGTTTAGGTCTTACAGAGATCTGTGTAAATGTGTGGTGGGTCGTAGCATCCTTCCAGGGCAGCCTGCCTCCTCTGCCACATGAGAACCTTCAGCCTTTCTGATATGAGTGCCAGCAAGCGTCATCTTCCTCAGCAGCCACTGCCTCCCACCCTTCCTCTCCTCTCCTCTTGCTGTGCATAGATGCAGGTGTGTGTACATGTGTGGGATGGCGTATACATGCATGAGAAGACCAGGGGTCAGCCTTGGATGTTGTTCTTCAGGGGCCATCTACCTTGTATGCTTACACGGAGTCTCTCACTGGGCCCAGGGACTTGCCGACTAGGCTGTACTGACTTAGACTGTGAGCCTGAGACCCACCAGTCTCTACCTCCTCAGTGCTGGGATTACGAGCACATGCCTCCACTCTGGGTAGAGGGGCACACTCAGGGCCTTCTGTTTGCACTTCAATAGCTGAGCTATTCACCTAGTCACATGGGTTTCCTGAAAGTCTAAAGTTAGGCATAAGAGAAGGGCCTATCAATGGTCCATCATGAGTTGGAGGTGGGTTCATGAAGCTCCACCTACCTTAGGAGCGATTGACAAGTTAATGGTTGCTGGTGTAACTAACTGCTGTTAAAGTTGCCAGTAAATAACCTTTCATGCATGCAACACTAATTAAACCCCGTGAGTCACAAAAGAAGCCACAAAACAACGACAAACCCCAAATCAACCATGGGAAATAGGAGAAAGACCTTTGGGAAGATTGGCAAGAGTGGGAAGGGGTGAGGAAGGATAATGGAGAGGGGACGAGAATGACCGAAGTACATCAAATGCACATATAGGAACTTACCAAAAAATAACAATAATGAAAAGGTTGTGCTTAAAGTTACCGTATGCCCAAGTTATTGCACTCTTAGGTGTACTCTCTTAATAGAGCTGAAAATATGGCCATGCATAACATCATTATAAATGCTCATAGCAATGTTATTCATAATAGCCCAAAGGTGGAAACAGCTCCAGAAAACAGTGGTAAGTCCATACAGTGGACTGTTACTCAGCTCTAAAAAGATATGCGCAAGCTACACCAGGGCTGACCTGCCACACTACTGCTGTGCCCAGAGCTTTTATGTCATTGTGCTTGGGTATTGAGAACAATTAAATCAATAGAGACAGAATCTAGGTTAAGTGGTTCTCAGGAGCTGAAGGAGTGTCTGCTAAGAAGATGCAATTTCCTTACCAGAACATGAAAAGCATGTTTTGAATTTAGTGGTGGTTATTGGAGGTTTGCGATTATACTAATAGCACTGAGTTCTGTACTGTGAAGAATGACTTTGAAGTGTGAATGGCACCTCTCAATAAGTAATACAATAATGTTCATACCCATGAGATAGATTATGTCCATTACCCTATTTAACTTCACAGTGTCCGATGTGAGTTAGGCTCAGAGGTCAAGTAACTTTGCCTGGGGCACAGAGGTCAAGAAATGTCTCTCTGCATAGTACCAGGCTGGGGATATGCAGTGGTCCCCTGGGAACTTAGTAAGCAGGTGCACTCAGATTGCCCTCTGAGACACTCTGACTGGTGTGAGGTTAGACTTGACTTCCCAGAGCCCTTTATGCTTTGAACTCGTGCATTTAACTCATACCATGCTGATGAATTATTAACTTGTAAGAAACTTTCCTCCTGACAGTTTTCTTGGGTGACAGTTTCCAGTCTCAATTATGTGTGTGTGAGATGAAGTGCATGCACTTGCAGTGCCTTCAGAGTTCTGAAGAGGGAGTGGGATCCCCTGGAGGTTCCCTGTGAGCTGCCTGACGTGGGCTCTGGAAACCAAACTCAGGGTCCTCCAAAAGAAGAACAGGCGGTTTGCTTTTAACCACTGAGCCAACTCTCCAGCCTTAGGATATATATATGTATGTATGTATTTTAATAATTTATTTAACTTCATTTTATGTGCATTGGTGCAAAGATATCAGATCCCCAGGTGGGTGTGGGAATTGAACCCAGGTCCTCTGGAATAGCAGTCAGTACTCTTAACTGCTGAGCCATCCCTCCAGCCCCCTTGGGCTATATTTTTGATCTGTAGAATAGGTCTTCATCAGTGGCTTCCAGTGCTGGCTGCATGTTGGGAGCTTTTGAGGCCTGTACTATCTGGGCCACATCCAGACCATTTCTGTTAGGAAAGAGGGAGGTGGTGGGGAGG